TCTGTTGATGATGTTGGTGGGTAGCTATGGTTATGACCTGATTTGAAACAGTCTTCCTATTTGTTTTTAGACCCTGTCCCTACCCCTCCCAGAGCATCCACAGCCTCCATCTTGGGTCTTCTGTGTCCAGGGAGAGCAGGCTGCTTCCCAACACCTGACTCTCCCCCAGCCCCTCCCCCACGAGGCTCTTCTTTTTTGTTACTCAATAACCTTTCTCCATCTGCTTTTTGTCCAGTATATCTCCTAATTCATTCTGTTTTCTAGTTTATACTCCCGGTCGTTTGAGGGTAACTTTTCAAGAGGAAAAGTTGTCATAAATGTTTTTACTTTGCCATTTGTAAACCTAAGGAATCACAAGAGGAACTCCAGAAGTAACAGAAAGGGGATAAGTTAGGTACTATGGGAGCAGAGGAGGGAATCTCAACTTTGATTGGAGTGATGTGGGTAGGTGGTGTTGTGGAGTGAAAAGTTAAAGATGAATTGGGTTTTAATAGGTAGACTCGAGGGTAAGTTCACTTGAGGTAGAAGGAACATTGTGACATAGAGGCAAACAAAAAGGAAGATCACGTTCAGCGTGTCTGCTGGAGCTGTAGAGGGCAGGCTGGTGGTGGGTTGTGGAAGGTCTTGGACACCATACTTAGGGCATTGGGCCCTTCTTTATGCCGTGGAAAGCCATCAAAGACATTGTTGAATCTATTTGACAAGCTCTGATGAAAAATTTAGTAAGAAACCAAATTGGATAGTTATAAAGAGCTTTAGCTGTTCATCAGCACTAATTTTAAAAGGCCCACAATCAACTTAATTACTGAAAATCAGGGTAAAACTGTGTAGAAAGCAGTGAAGTGTCACAGGAACCAGATGCCCATTTTTTGGACCACAGATGTGCTTGCCATTGGCCTCAGATTGCCAGAATCTCTCAGAGCGACTAAGCCCAGCTTACTATTTTAAAAATCATTTCCATATTAAAATTTTATTTTCCATCTTTACTTATCTAATTATCACATTTGGTTGTTTGAAAATTCTATTAAAAAGTAAATTTTAAAATTGATAACAGTTTGAGCAAATTGCATGTCAGTTGAAAAGAAAAATTTTCAAAGGTACTCAAGACCCCTGAGAGCTCTTTCCTGCAGATTAGAACTTCCACTTCCTCTTTTTAGCCTAATTATTGGTTAATTGGTAACACCTTGTGCCTTCTGTAATTGTGAAGAATTTTCGAAGTATAGTTTTAAATTGCTCCTCAAACAACCCCACGCATGTGTTGTTAAGAAAGCCAAGTTTCTGAAGGCTTGATTATTGGGAAGAAGGTGCCGCCGCACCACAAAAGCGACGGGTACGATCCCTGAGCTGGGGACGTCCTGAAACATTCTCGAAGGCTCTGTTAGTTCTATCTCGTCCCCTCTAGAATATGATTCTGCATCTTTGGGTGGAATTGTGACTCCTTCCATGATGTGTGGACGTGCCAGTGGTTCATGTGGGTGAAATTAAAACAGTAAATCTTCCTCTGCTTCTGGTTGGGTCAATATAGGATAGAAGATTAAAGCATTTATTCTTCTTGGCTTTTAGTGTTGATCCCATGCTGCATATCTTCACATACAGGCCGTTTAATCCACACAGTACCCTCTGGGAAAACATGACCTGCTCGTCTCAGTTTGTAACCAAGAATGTCGAGGCTAAGGGGGGCTAAGTGCCTGAGCCGACAAAAAGTTGGAGTCCAGTCGGTCTCAAAACTTCGCCTGTTGAGCAGAAGTAGGAGGTGTTTACTCCCAATATTTTCCTTCGAGTTTGGTTGTTTTACCTTCTCCTGCCGAAGTGATGGCACTTTTCACAGTAAATTCGTAACGTTCTTTGCCGTTGGGCTGCCGATCATTGAGGGTTTTCTCACCATCTCCCTTGCCGCCAGGCTGCTGCCTGGGCAGGGTGTCAGCCCGCAGCGTCAGGCTCGGCATCCGTGCCCTGGCCGGTGCTGCCGTGCGCGTGTCTGCCGCGTTAGCAGTCAGCGCGGGGCGGGCCTGGCCTCTGCGTTGGTTACAGTGGCCTTAGGACTCAGTGAGTAACTGCAGCGTTTGCAGCTGTTTGAGAGCTTTTAGGTAGCAGATTCATCGGAGAAGTTACCGTGGGGAAGCAAGGGTTTTTTCTGTTTCTGAAAGAACAGTCATTATATTTAAGTGTTAGAATTAACCCCCCGCTGATGTTGGTGTCGCCCTCGGTCTGATTCTTGCTCCTTTGAAAGTTAAGGTGTCTTCTTTTCTGGCTGATTTTCTCTTTGCCTTTGATTTTTAGCATTTTGTCTATGATGTGCTTAGACGTGGTTTTCTTTGTATTTATCCTGCATGGGGTTTATTTGATTGATTCCAATTTTCTGTTGAAATTCACCTATTTGAAGATGATTTGGAAAATGCCCTCAGAAAACTCCAGAATGACTGTGGAGCTCAATTCCTGTGCTGCTTTTCTCTCAGGAATTGTAGCTGCTTGAATCCTGCCTGTGCGGTGCACTCAGTGCTTTCAAACAGTGATTCTTGTATTTTGTCCAACCCGTGTAGTTGTTTTCAGCTATTTCCTCATGGCCAAACTCAGAACTTTCCGGAATGGCTTTTCAGCATCTGTGGTCACTTAGGGTTTTATGAATGATCTTAGTGAATGATTTTAATACTGGTTTTCTCTGTTAAATCTGTTGTTTTGGAGAAAACAGTAAGCAATTTGTGGTTTTAAGAGATGCCCCCACTCCCTTCCTATTCCAGCCAGTTTAGAAAAATAAGTTAAGCAGATATTTGTTTTAAAATCTGTTTATCTGTGACTTCTCTTCCATAATTTTTTATAATATTTTCCATGGCCACAATGAAGGATTCCCAGAGCATCATCCAGGTAGAAAGAGCAGACCATTCACATTGGCGTATCATCCCTGGATGCTGTTTAGTTACACAAACAACATGAATATTTTTAGGATTCTTGATACAAGCTGTGGTTCAAAAAATATTTTATCGATTTATCAGTGCCATTTAGTTACTGTTCCTCTCCCATGCCGTTACATTGTCTCTACTCACCTCCTCATCCCACTCCTCTGCTAGTTCATTCAACCGATGGATGGAATCCCTGCTACATTCAGGACAAAGTGCTGGACTCGGCCGAGTGTAGAAAATAATTAATGAGATCCGCCTTACCCACCAGCCTCCTGTGTGGGTGAACAAGGCGCCTACATAAGTCATCCTAAATAAAGGCAAAATGCATCACGGTAAAGGCCTAAACAGCTGCTGAATTATTAATCCTAGTCTGAAGTGAAGCTCTAGCTTCCTGTAATTCTCTCATTTCTTTTCATTGTTAAGTTAACAAGGGGTTTTAGAATATAGTGGGTGAGAAAACACCCTTTTTTCTTTCTTAGTTAAAAAGAAAACTATGCCTGGCCGGCCCCGTGGCTTAGTGGTTAAGTGCGCGCGCTCCGCTACTGGTGGCCCGGGTTCGGATCCCGGGCCCGCACCAACACACCTCTTCTCCAGCCATGCTGAGGCTGTATCCCAGATACAGCAACTAGAAGGATGTGCAACTACGACGTACAACTATCTACTAGGGCTTTGGGGGAGAAAAAAAAAAAAAAGAGGAGGATTGGCATGGATGTTAGCTCAGGGCCAGTCTTCCTCAGCCAAAAGAGGAGGATTAGCATGGATGTTAGCTTAGGGCTGATCTTCCTCACAAAAAAAAAGAAAAAGAAAACTATGCCACAGCATAAAAATATTTTAAAGAAATATACTTTCACTCTCCCAGCTCATTAATATAGAAGTTTAATTTTTTGCTTATTTCTCTTTGATCTTTTCCATTCAAACACATACAATTATAATATATAACTTTATAGTCTGCATTTTTCACTTCCATAAACCTTTTTTTTTACTTCAACATAGTCTTCATAATTCTAATATTTGATACTTTTTTCTCATTAGTATGCCAATACTTGAGTTTTCTTTTGTTGGCAGTGGATATTTTTCCAGTTTCAGTATTAGAAATGGGGCCACATTGAGCACCTTTGATTCAGCAATCCTACTCCTAAAATTTTAGTATGAGTAAATAGTTCAACAGAGAAAAAGCTAGTATACAAACAGTATGAATATTTTTGTGGTTCTTGATACAAGCTGTGGCTCAAAAAGTATTCTGACAGTTTATGGTGCTGCCGGTGGCTTTACAGCAGCACTTGATTAGGTGCTATAATTAAAAATATTGGCTTATTTAGCAGCTGTACATGATATTTTAAATTTGCTTTAATTTTAATTTCTTTGGTTATTACTAAAGTTGAACCATTTTCCCTATGTTTATTTGCTCTGCGTAGTTAGAGGATCGTTTTCAGCACTGAGCTTTTGGCTTTTAATAAATCATGACTTCTGATGCCTTCTTTACCTGTCATGGTTTCCCAGAGGGTGTTTGTCATGAGGGTTCAGTGAGACACCATATGTAAACGTGCTCAGAACAGGGCCTGACCCATAACAGGCACACACTGTTCGTCTCTAGAAGATAGAAAAGGACAAATATATCTTTCATACCTTTTGTTTCTCAACCTCAGGGAAATGAGAAAGTGTGCTTGTTTGTTTTGTTATTGAACATATGAAAAAAATTTTTCATTTCAAGTAATTTGATATAACTTCAGTGTTTTCAAATGAACTAATAACTACATTCAGGAGAAATTAAACTCTGAAGTTTAATTCTTTTATATGGTTTTAATTATATAAAGTCTCTATACAAGAGTCTTTAGATACATTAAGAAAAATTTTCTGAAGTTAATCGCATTATTTCAGTTTCAAAAAATAATCTCCAATCCCCATGTGCCTTTAAATATAATACAGAAACATTTTTCCTAATGTTAATAAATTAATGTACTTTTAGCTTATCAAACTTACAAAATACAAAATTTAGCGTTGAAGATAACTGATAAGATGTGGTTGAATATTTTAGTTGAAAGTATTTTTCTTCCTTATATATGGACTTTATAAGTGTGTTTTGTTTCTCTTATTTGTCTTCAGGTTAAAAAGGCCTTCTTTGCCTTAGTAGCCAATGGTGTTCGAGCAGCGCCACTGTGGGAGAGTAAAAAACAAAGTTTTGTAGGTAAGCAGTGTGGGCTTGGGAAGAATCTGAAATGGGAAACCTTACAAGCAGAAAGCTAAGGTATTTTAATAGGTGCTGGTTTGGAGTTCAGCCTAGTAAACATGTTACCAAATTAAACATTCTTGCTTTTCATCCTGGGTAAGGTGGGGCCGCTAGTAAATTCAAAACACTCATGTTCCTTTACTGAGTTTCTTTTTTATATTTATTATTTCTTTTGATTTATCCCCTTTTTGGCTCTTTGAAGATCTTCTGTGCCTCTGCCAGTTCCTGTGAGCCCGGGGAACAGGGTCTGCAGGGGAGGCTCTCCTGGCCACCTCTGCTCACATTTACACACCTGTGGTCCATCCCTGCTTCCTCTCTGGTGAACACCTTTTTGACAGGGCAAATGAAGTGATGTAAATGTGATTGATACCTTTGCTAATCATAGTTAACTATAAAAAATATCGTGTAACTCACAATATCTAAACTCCATAATTTTTCATTTTATAAATCATAGTAGACAATGGATATCATCTCTCTGAGTATGCATCACGTTATTTTGAAATGACCAGTTTATGTCTGCCTCCCCTTGTAATTTACAGTTTCGTCAGGGGAAAGGTTCACATCTTCTTCATCTTTGTAGTCCTGGTGTCTGATACATAGTAGACACGTAATAGTGACTGTTGAAACCATTGTTTTTGGAATGCTTCTCAGGAAACAATCCAAGTGCCCCCAGAAGTGTCATATTTCTAAAGCTTATGCAATACTGTATCTTATTTTAAAGTATTTTAAATTATTTACATGTAGCTGCAAGTCTTTTGTGATGTTTTATAACAATCAGTAAGTTTTCTTGCATTGGATTGCCAAATACTCTGACTAATTCCATTGTATTTACTATCGGGTTTAATTTCAACTAACTGCATATCTTAGTTTGGTTTAGATAATTAACAGATTAATAGTTTTAAATAATATATTAAATTGCGGTTGATATTTTAAAAGTATATTTTAGAGCTTTTCTAGTAAATATTCCTGGTTTGCTTGTCATTTGAAATTTTTGCTATAAGTTTTCATAGTTTCATATTTAACATATAATTCTTTGTTCCAGGAATGCTAACAATTACAGATTTCATAAATATACTACATAGATACTATAAATCACCCATGGTAAGTGCCAGAAATCCTTATATCAGTAATTGGAGCTATACATTTCTATGTCTGTGTATAGGGGTGTGTGTATTTTAAGATTTTTGTGTTTTTTTCTTTTTTGGTACAGGAGTAGTTGTGCTGGTTGTTGATTTTTCCAAATATATAAAACGTGCAGGGAACCTCAGTGTAAATCACTCATGCATTTGAAGCTTGAAGAAGGTAGTCTCAGGAAAAATAAAAGGCAATAGCTTATTTATTCAGCTCTCAGAAATCCTCGGGTCGGTGGAATTCTATGTGCTTATTTATTGCCTAGATGTTCTATAAAGTTTCACTAAATTTGTCATCTTTACGGCATTATGGCATGCTGTAGACTCTCCCTGGACCCATGAGTGAAGGAGGCCCCTCCCACCGCTCTCATCCGGGTCCTGTCACCAGTGAGGCCTCACTCTCGAGAGGAGGATGCCACAGGGCTTGTCTTCACGGGCCTGTTGATGTGGGTGCAGCTTCATGCCGTTACCCTCGACATTTTATAACAAGGACTATACGGACTCTGTGGTTTTAAGGAAGTAAAACTTAAAATCGAAGAAATGCAAGTTTTGACATTTTTCTGCAGGTTAAGAAAAGACTGCTACTGGCTAACTTTAGTAGCAGAGCTTCCTGGTCCCTTGTCTGTTTTATAAGAGCAGAGTTTGGAAGTCACACATGGCCTTTGTCTAACACTGTGATTTTCGTGATTCTACCAGCTTGTTTGGCTTTTATTTTTTCTTTTTGTGGTTTTTTGGGGTTGTTTTGTTTTTGTTTTTGTTTTTTTGGCAAGAGTGGGGAAGGACAGAATTGTATAATTTGTTTCTTTAACTGGTACTATTTTGGGTATCTAAAAGGTAAAAGACAATCCAGTTGTTAACTATTTTTACATGTAATGGTCAATATTGCCCAATAATTAAATTCCTACATAAAATGAAAAAATAAGTTTCTTCATAAGACATATTCTTAGAAGGAAGTTTTAGCAAAGATTTTGTAAGTATTCCATATTTATTTCACATGACACATCTGATTTCTTAAATACTATCAATGCAGTGAATATGGGTTTTCTTTATAATGGTCGTATCTCTGCTTTTGGACTAGCAAAATCAGCCCAAGTATGATTATTAGGTGGATATATTTTGATAAAATGCACTAACCCCTGTATAACAAATCTCAGCAGTAGTTAATTAAATTGAAATTTCTAAAAAGCAGTTATGTCTTAATATACAGCCTAAAGTTTTTCTTAATACTTTAGATGCATTTTTTCCCTCCGCATTTCACCTCGTTTTCTAATTATGAACAGAAAAATGCTATTGTGAAAGCTATGGCTCATTTCATTTTCTAAGTATTTATTGTTAGTATATAAAAACACAATTGATTTTTATATGTTGACCATTTATCCTGTAAGATTCACTTATTAATTCTAGTAGGCTTTTTGTACATTTGTTAGGATTTTTTCTATGTATATGATGTTGTCTATGAATAAAGACAGTTGTACCCACACCATTTACTGAAGACTTTCTTTTTAGTCATAGAATTGTTTTACTGCCTTAAGTGTGGGTCTCTTGCTGGATCTCTTCTGCTCCGTTGATCCGCTTGTCTATTTCTGTGCCAATAGCATAGTCTCTTAATGACTATTTAAAAAAACAAAAATCCTGCTGGCATTATTGGGAGTCTGTAGATCAGTTTGGGGAGAATTGGCATCTTAATATTGAGACTTGCAATTTGTGAACATGGTATTTCTTTTTCTTGCTTTATTTCCTTGGCTAGGACTTTCAGTACAGCATTTAAGTCATGAGGGCAGACCTCCTTACCTTGTTACCATCTTAGAGGGAAAGCATTCAGTATTTCACTGTTGAATATGAGGTTAGCTATAGTTTTTTCATAGATGCCCTTTATCGTGTTGAGGATGTTCCTCCTTTTCCAGGTTTGCCAGAAGCTTTTATCATGAATGGATGTTGAATTGTGTCAGGTGATTTCTCTGTATCTATTGAGATTATCATATTCTGTTTCTCCATTCTCTTAGATATTATTTCTTCAAATAGTTTTCTGTCCCCTCCCCTTTCTGGGACTCCAGTTACTCAACTGAGACTGTTTCGTGGGTTTTTCCCCAGTATTTTTTCTCTCTGTGCTTCATTTCAGATATATTTTATTTCTGTGTCTTCAGTTTCACTGTTCTTTTCCTCCACAGTATCTAATCTACTGTTAATTTTTTTTCCTTTCAGATATTGTATTTTCTGCTCTAGAAGTTCCATTTGGTTCTTTTTTATATTTTCCATTTCTCTCCTTGTTCTGTTCATTTTTTCCTTTAAATCCTTGAATATATTATATTAGTTGTTTTAAAGTTCTCTGCTAATTTCATCATCTCTATCAGTAGACCCAGAATACTGGGTCTGATTCTATTGACTGACTTTTTTCCTGTTAATAGGTCACATTTTCCTGCTTCTTACAAATCTAATCATTTAAATGGATGTTGAATATTGTTAATGTTATGTAGTTGAATATCTGTGTTGTCTTCCTTTAAAGAGTATTGGAGTTTGTTTTGGCAGGCAGGTAATGTACTTAGAGATCAGCTGGATCCTTTTGAGACCTTTTTAAAACAGTTTTATTGAGATATAATTCATATACTCTATATTTCACCCTTTAAAGTATACGATTCAATGGCTTTTAATATGTTCACAGAGTTGTGCAACCATCACCACAATCAATTTTAGAACATTCTCATTACCTCAAAAAGAACACCCCTTAGCTGTGACCCTCCCCTCAGCCCCCATCACCTCCAACCCTAGGAACCACTATCTACTTTCTGTTTGTATAGATTTGCCTATTCTGAACATCTCATATAAATGGAATCATACAGTACATGGTCCTTTGTGACTGGCTTTTTTCATTTAGCATGTTTTCAAAGTTCCTCCGTGTTGTAGCGTGTATCAGTACTTCATTTCTTTTTAATGCCGAATAACATTTCACTTAATGGATATACCACATTTTACTTATCCATTCATCAGTTGATGGACACTTGAATGGTTTCCACTTTTTGGCTATTGTGAATAATGCTACTGTGAACATTTGTGTACAAGTGTTTGTGTGGACATACGTCTTCATGTCTCTTGGGTATAGACCTATGAGTGGAATTTCAGAGTCATATGGTAACTTATGTTTGAGTAACTGCCAGACTTTTTCACAGCAGCTGCACCATTTTACATTCCCACCAGCAATATGTGAGCGTCCCAGTGTCTTCCCATCCTCACCAACACTTGTTACTCTCTGTCTTTTTGATTATAGCCATTCTAGTGGGTGTGAAGTGGTGTATCTCATTGTGATTTTGATTTGCGTTTCCCTGAAGGCTAATGATGTTGAGCATTTTTTCACGTGCTTATTGGCGGGCTTGTTTTTAGGCTTGTTAGGGTGTGACTCTTTACTCTGGCTGGTTTAGTTCTGCTACTTCTGGGATCTCCATGGAGTTCCCTGGTTGTTCAGCGAGGATTTTCCACTCTGCCTGCTCAGAACGTAGATGTCTTTCAGTGTAAGTCTTTGCCTGGCCTTGTGTGGTTTCAGCCCATGCGTGCCCAGCTTCATATTCAGTTCAAAACTCAAGGAGATCTCTGTACAGCCTCCTCTTCTTTTTAGGAACAGCTCCCTCTTGTCTGCTGCTCTGCCCTGCAAATTCCATTTGGCTCAGTCTGCCCAGACTTTGACTTCTCTCTCCTCAACTCAGCAAGACTCTTGTGCTCTTCTCAGGGCCGGCTGACTGCGTCACAGTCCAGAAAGTGCCTCTAGAGAGAGATGTGGCGATCATAGGGCTCAGTTTGTTTGCTTCCCTTCTCTTAGGGATCACAATTGTGCCCTGCCTGTTGTCTAATATCTGAAAATGGTTGTTTCACATGATTTTTCCCATTTTCTATTTGTTTTCAGCAGGAGATTAAGTGTGGTCCTGTCTACTCCATCATGGCTGATGGAGCTCTATCAATATTTTAGTCATACCTCTTTGCAGTGTTTTTTTTTTTTTTGTGGTTGCTGTATGGATTCCAGTATCAATTTCAACTTACCGCAATCTATTTGAACTTAATGTTGAATTTTTTGCATAAAATATAGTTTCATTTAATCTGCCCCTATCGTTTTTGTTTTAAACAAAATGAAGAGTAAGAAGAAAAAATATTTATAGTTTTTTATACTTAGCCTCATAGGGACGATTTCTCATTCCTTTCTGTGGATTTGAGTTACCATCTGGTATGATGTCCCTTTAGTCTGAAGAACTCCCATCAGCGTTTGTGTAGTCCAGTTCTGTTGGTGATGAATCATCTCAGTTTTTGTTCCTCTGACAATGTCATTATTTCATCTTAATTTTTTTTTATTGGCTCTGAGCTAACATCTGTTGCCAGTCTTCCTCTGTTTTATATGTGGGACACCACCACAGCATGGCTTGATGAGCAGCGTGTAGGTCTATGCCTGGATCCGAACCCGCAAACCCAGAGCCACCAAAGCTGAGCTTCCAAACTGAGCCACCATGCCACCAGGCCTGCCCCTCATCTTTGTTTTTGAAGAACAGTTTTGCTGTTTGATAGAAACTGAGTTAAGTTTTTTTTTCTTTAACACTTTAAGGATGTAATTTCATTGTCTTTTGGCATCCCAATGCTTCTGATGAGAAATCACTAGAAATTTTTATCCTTGTCTCCTCTATGTGATGCACCATTTCTTTCTGGTTCAGGATTTTCTCCTGAACTTCAGGTTTCAGCAGTACCTGTGATATGCCTAGGTGTGGCTTTCGTTGTATTTATCTTACTCCAAATATGTTGAGTTTGCATGATCTTCTAAGTTGGTTTTTCACCTAATTTGGGAAGTTTTTAGCTTCTGTTTCTTCAAATACTTTTTCGGTCTGATTCTTTCTCTCCTCCCCTTCTGAGACTTCAATTACATGTGTGTAGACCACATGATACTGTGCCACACGTCTCTGAGACCCTTGTTCATTTTTCAGTCTTTAGTGTCATTGTTGTTCAGATTGGATAATTTCTATTGACCTATCTTAAATTTGCTACTTCTTCCTGGAGTGATCTCCAAGCTCATTTTCAAACCCCATTCCTATTGAATTTTCAGTGAGATTGGGAGCTTAAACTTGAAAGATTTTGTAGCTTCTTTGTAAAATTTTCTGTGGCTGATTTTCCACAAAATGGAAATGGGACTTTTAAACAATAATTTTCATGTATATTTTGGAAAGAACTGCTCTTGATAATGAGAGCTAAGGCTGCTGTTTTTCCTATCAACTACTATATTTACACAAATGTAGGCACTAGATACCATTTTTCCTAACTATTAAATTTTATACTCAAGGGCAATGGTTGCTTCTTCTCTACCTTTCTGCAGAGCCTAGTAGAGTGTTATTCACACTCGCTATTGGTGATCCTTCTTGTTTCTCCTCTCCTTCTGACCTGATCCATTAAGTTTTTCTCTTTCTTCCTCCTCCTAATTCCTAATTGTAGGTATTTTCAAAGGCTTAGGCTTTGGCCCTCTGCTCTTCTCTGTGTGGCTTCTCTTCTTTGGAAGTCTTAATCCACTTCTTTAACTTCACTTCCACATTCTCCTTCCTGTCCTTGGTCCCTGCCCGTTGAAATTCTAGTCTTTCAGAATCCTACTCAGATATCACTTTAGCGATGGAGAGTTCCCTGTGTTAGTCTCCCTGGGGCAGAATTAGTCACTATTTCAGTGCTCCCATTAATAACCCTGTGGCACTTTTCGTATTGTATTATGATTCATAGTAAGGCAGTATTTCTCAACTGGAAGCGATTTTTCCCCTCAGGGGACATTTGACAGTGTCTGGAGACATTTTTGGTCATAGTTGTAGGAAGGGTGGAGTGGTTCTACTGGTGTCTAGTGGGCAGAGGCCAGAGATGCTGCTAAATATCCTACAGTGCACAGGACAGCCTGTCCTGGCACAGGACGACAAAGAAACATCCAGCCTAAAATGTCAATAGTGCCAAGGTTGAGAAATGCTGTTGTAGGGGTATCTGAGTTTCTTGTTAGATTTTGAGTTCTTTGAGGTAGAGACTGTATCTTACTCATCTTTGTACCTTACGCACACACATGAACATGCACACACACCCTTCCCATCATGTCAGGGCCAAACATGCCTGGTTCGGAACAGACCCTCGAGTTAGTTCAATCTTGTCCACAATGATGACTGTAGCTAAAGAGCTGAGGAGGTTGTGCAGACAGAGTTGAGTGAGTTGTGCAGGCAGAGAGCAAGGAACCCTCCACTCAGCTAAGCACTTGCGTCATCTCAGAACTTCCTAAGGGAGATTTAGACCAGTGTGTTCTACTTCAGACTTTGTTAAAACCATATCCTCATCTTCCCTTACCCTCAATTAGGCTTTCTTCTCTGTCATGGAGATTATCATTCAGTCACCTAGCATCAAAATTGGGGGGCTTTTATTTATTCATTCATCTCTATTTCCCCTGTTTAAGTAATCTCTAAATCTTTGGTTCTTCCTTCCAGTTGCCCCTGTATTCCCACCATCACCATGTTAGAGCTAACGTACCGCCTGAGACTTGGTTTTGTATCTGGCTCTGGTGCTGGGAAAGTCGCCTTCTCCGAGCCTTGTTCTCTCCCGTCGTCTGCTGCTTACACCCATCAGTGCTGGCCTGGCCTTCTCTCCCAGACTCGGAGGCCGCCGTCGCATTGGGTGTTCGAGTCAGCATCAGGCCATGTCAGTCCCCACATGCCCGCTCCTGTCCTCCAGCACACTAGTCTCCTTTCCGTGTTCCACCAACATGAGGAAGTCTGTTTCTTCTCCAGGCCTGTACTATTTCCCCTTTGTTTCTGTAAAGCCCACCCATCGCTCAGGACCAGGCTGAAATCTGCCTCCTCCCCGTTTTCCTTGCCTGACCTCTGTTCATCTCTGCTTTCTCTGCATCCCTGTACTAAAGCTTGTAGATATGACCTGATACATATTCTTTCTTCAGTTGTCAGTGGCATTTTTACATAAGACTGCCGTAATGTTCCTGCCAAGGCGATTTTAAGCTTCAAGAGGAGGCCAGATTTTCCTATTGCAGGTTGGGATTTCCTATCCCAGTCCCGAGTTGGGAGTGGGAGGCTGCAGAAGGGGCGGTGGAGAACTCCGGCATATTAGTCCCTGTCTTCTGAGGCACTTCCTCTCGTGTCTCTCATCTTCTCCTCACGGAACCTGAATTTGCAGGGCTTTGGATCCAGTTGTTTAGGAAGGGAGAGACATTCAGAGAGGTTAAATAATTTGGACAAGAACAGCAGCTAAGAAGCGGTGAGGGTAGTGTTGAGATTTGATGAGATTTGAAACAAAGCTCAACAACTGCAAAGTGACTTTGTGTCACACACAGCACTGTTTACCCTTCCAGGCAGCTCACCCTTGCTTTGTGGAGACTGGTGGACATGGTCCAGGCATAAACTGACCTAATGACTTAATTTTAGCGCGTGATTTAACCAGTGGCCCTTTTTAAATGAGAGCTGCTAAAAATCTTCTGTATCCTGAAAAAGAGGAAAAAGTATATATGTCTGTGTGTATGTTTTAAAATTTATGTGTATCAGAAATTTTCAGATTAAATTAATGAAAATATATTATCCTGGTTTATGTTTAAATTTATAAAACATTTATCTTCAAAGAAATGTAGAGCATTTTATATTTCTCATTTATATATTTCCAATATTCTGAATTATCTGTTTCCATATGCTGAATTATGAGACTCAGCAGTAGTTATGAAATCATTTTTTTTCTTATTGTATATGTTAACCTTTGTAAATAAGAATTTTTCTTATTTGCAGGTACAGATTTATGAATTAGAAGAACATAAGATTGAAACGTGGAGGGGTAAGCACTATTGGGTGTTAAAAATCTTTTAATATCGGGAAAAAAAGTGCTACTTAGTGTGTAATATATGTTTTAATTTCACAGATCCCTTTCTTTCTGCTTAATAATAAACTATGTTATGTAAAACATTTATTTCTCTCTTAATTTTGATAGTATGCCATACTACTATAAATATTATCCATTCTGTTTAATAGACATTTATAGAGAACCTAGAGCAAGTCTTTCTACGAAGGCTGGGAATATAACGATGAATAAGCTAACCAGTGCCCCAGTCTCTGCCCTGCAGTGGAGCCATCATTCACTACTAAGGATTACCCCCCAAACTTGCCTTTGTATAGAAAAAGCACCAGAGGAATGCCTAAGATTAACACAAGCAAGGATCTGTTCTTAGTTAAATTTAATAATTTTTTCTTTAGAAATTATGGAGAAACATAGAACAAGTGAACCTTAAACTAGATGATTTGGATCAAATAATATGAAAATAACTTCAAGATTGCTTTCTTTTATTTGTAACATGAAGTTCACCCTTTATAATCACAATACCCTTTTCTGAAATGGAGCCATTTTTTAAATTCTAATTTCACGATTGTGGAATTGTTCTGTCTCAATGAGACCCATCGTGCAGGACGGTTGCAGGTACAAGCCTGGACGGGGATCACTGAAGAGCTCAGTGTGACTGAAATTGTGGGGTGTTCAGGGGAAAGCCTAGATAGAACTGAAGGGACCATCTGAAGGAAAATTTTGAATTTAAAATTGAAGTTTAGCTTTGTACCTTCCATAATCTGCTTGGTATGATAAGCAGCCTTTGTGACTGGCTGTGAAATCTGAACATCTGCTAGAATTCTCTAAAGGGATAGCAGCTCTCTTCATTCCATGTGATTTAGAAGTTTCATTGAGTGATATATTTGTTTTATGACAGCTTTATCAAGTCAAACCAAACAAAGTAAGTCAACATGGGGTCCATATTTTAGCACTGCCTATTATGAAGTGAATAGATAACACCAAGACAGATACTTCTTACCAAATTCTACTGTATAAGTAATGTTAGACCAAAATTGAAGTATATTTACATTTTGACATTACATGGTATTCGGTAGTAATAATAATAATGTCAAGATATTCTTGAATGCCTTCTGTATAGAAGCCTCAATAAAGCAAATTAATTACAGTTAATCTTTACAAAGATAATTTCTACATACTAGAAAGATCCCCAAGATGCAGTAGATTCTCAGCAATTGTTTGGTAAAATAAAACTTGTTATAACTTTTGTTTTATCTTTTAACTTATGCAAATGAGTTTTAAAGGATTTCATAAATGCTTCATCTCTTGAGGGCGATAGTAACTTGGCAGCATTCTAGTGACCTCTGCTGGTAATGCTCTTTTATTAGATTTTTTGACTTCTGATTTTTATAACATCTGTTATAGTACTGTTTTTAAGTATTTAATTTTTCCACAAAGGCAACATGCTGAAAACAGTTTGGAAGTTGTTTAAAATAGCCATAACTATAATTAACAGAATAGTTTTCAGTAAATTAAGTTTATTTGATTTGAGTTTTTAATCTTTCTAATTATTATCTGTAAATTGAAGAGTATTTTAATTTATGTAGAAATTACAAACAGCAAATGCATTACTAATTGCATATTTTCTTTCTATAAATACAGAGCTTTATTTACAAGAAACATTTAAGCCTTTAGTGAATATATCTCCAGATGCAAGGTAAACTTGTAAAGTTTTTCTCTTTTGAAAACATTCATTCATTCAGATTCATCTGTTTTGTTACCATGATTGATTGATAGATTTTTTTTATCCACATAGGGGTCAGCCTCCTTAATTCCAAATATTAAATTCAGTATATTTAGAGACAGTAGAGATCACAGCCATTGTTGGTCCAAAGGATTGGTAATGGACTAGGAAGATGGTCATACTAAGCAGTTTCAAAATCCAGTTTACCTGCCGCAGAAACCATCTAGGGAGCTTGTTAAAACTGTGGATTCCTGGGCTCCACCCCCAGCCTATCAAATCAGTCTTTGGAGGGTTGTGCCCAGGAATGTGCATTAAAACAACTCCCCACGGGTTCTGACGTACACCGAAGTTGAAAAATCGGACTCTATTGGACATTGGTCCACAGGTGGTCAGAAGAATGAGCTGCCCTCTCGGTGCTCTTCTAGCTCATACGTTTTGATCCAAGCTTTCTGGGATGGCTCTGATACGTTTCCACATTTATAAGAAAGCATTCCTAAAACTCTAGAACACTAGTGAAAAAAAGTGAAATATTGATTTTTATTATTTTATTTCCGAGTCCTAACAAATAGACACACCCAGCATGCCTCCTTGCTGGCAGGCACAGGAGAGACAAGAGCAGCCCAGAGGTGGGCTGGCCGAGCGAGGAAGCAGCCAGCGGGCTGCGCCAAGTCAGAGTAGCCCATCCAGGGGCCCACGCCACCGCTCCCCTCTGTTGCTCGTGTTATTGTCAGTTAGCTGTCCTAGGGGTTAGCTTCTGTCATTCTTCAAATAAAAGCATTAAACGCACTATTAAAAAACTCTCCTAGAGATTTGTAGCTCACACTTGTATTTGAGATTTATTAACAAAGATTGTGAAAAATTAAAAAAATTGCTGAGATCTCCAATTTAAAACTTTTCCAAAATGCTGTTTTAAGTCAATCAACCTTTTATTATTGTAGTATAAAAACACTGAAAATGCTTTTAAAGCAGGGGTGGTCCAAAGTTTTCTAATTTTTCTTTAAAGCCTCCTAACGACTTTAATGGCTTTTCCCACAGCCTCTTCGATGCTGTATACTCGTTGATCAAAAATAAAATCCACAGATTGCCAGTTATTGACCCTATCAGTGGGAATGCACTTTATATACTTACCCACAAAAGAATCCTCAAGTTCCTCCAGCTTTTTGTAAGTAGTTTTTAGTGTTTCTAAAGACATAGTTACATCTACTTTAACTAATTTACTTCAAGTAAATTGGCTCCTGTTACCCTCAGTAGAAGAAATTGTTAGTTTTGAGGTCTCCATTTCTAAACTTCAATTTTTCAACCTACTACTATTTGAATTGTACCTTCTCAAAGTTGATTCCAATTAAAAAGCAGTCACCTTTCAGTGCAAGTATCAAAATAACAACAACACATGGAATTCTCTATTTAAATTAGAATATTTTATCACCTAAAATATGTGGAGAAGTGAAGCAATTTGCAAGTCAGTCTAATTAAGGAACTGCTATACAAGATGAATTGAGCCAATATCTATAGCAGATTGCTTTACTGGTATCGTGGCTTTAGAAACGTAGATTCAAAAAATATTGTCCCCAGGATTATCTTATTATTAACTGTAGCAGTGATAGAAAACCCAAGCAAATAAAATTTTGACAAGAGAATATACCATGTTGGTCCAAATTAGGCTATATTTGTAGGTCTTCTCAGCTGCATTTGAAATGAGATGGCTTCATAATCATCCAGAACTTAGAACCTTTTGGTTGGCCGTAGTCAAAGAGGCTCAGAAGGACCAGAGTGTCTATAGAGAACTTTAATTTTTTCCTTTTAATTACATGCACTGTATTTGAGGTTGCAAGTGATTGGTCAACTAGAACCGCTAGGAGGCCTCATTCATGGTTCAGAAGAGATCATTTGAAGTCACTTTTTTTTTAAAGAATTTAATAGACATTAAAAATCTACATCAAATTAGCTTTCCCATCTCCTTGTCCACAGCTTCAGATAAGGACGTAAAATAGCACGCAGCGTGGCGCCAGGGCCAGGGCTGCTCCCGGAAGGCCGCCCCACTTTCCAGACAGAAACACGGAGGGTTCAGTGACTGGGAGAAATACCTTGTCCATCAAACCAGTCCTATATTTTAATAGTTAACGTTTAAAAATAACACTCTTCATGTTTAAATAAATACTAAGCAAGAAGGTAGGAAGGAGAAGTATAATTTACAAAAAAGCATGGTTTGGTAAAGAGACAATCTAGGGAGGAAGAATCAGAGATGAACGGATACTGTTGGTCAGATTCACATCTGTTGTGCACAGGCTCTGGGTCGGCCGTGTGCTGCAAAGGCAGTCACCTCAGGCCGAGGTCTAGTAGGACCCAGGGTGGGGCCGTGTCTTCAGGGCCCCCGTGTGCCAGGCTCTTAGCCCATTTACCCCTTAGAGTAATCATTTTAAAGTAACATTAATCATGAGAGCTAAATACTGTTAAGCATTTACGGTATGTCAAGCACTGTCCTAAGCACTTCAGGTGATAAATCTAATCCTTGCCACCACCCTCTCAGGTAGGTATTTTTATTGATCCATTTTATAAGTGAAGAGACCAAGTGAGTTGAATAACTTTGTTACTGCTGGTAACAGCAGTACCAGCTCCGCTGGTGGAGCAGCAGCGGCCCCAGCGGCCCCTCCCAGTCTCCGTGCGTGCCTCCGTCCACCGGCCTGTCGGGCAACGTCGTAGCTCCTCTGTACTCAGAGGCACCTGGCTCAGAGGGGAGACGTGCCCAGTCTCCCAGGTGTTAAGTGGTAGAGTTCCAGCCCATTTCAGTGGCCTCAGCCGCAGGAGGGACAATTTGAGACAGGCCTTTGGCATTTTTCTCTTCTATAGAAAGTAGGGGAGGTTGCCTCTGCCAGTACTGCCTTCTATTTGGGCCAATATGGTAATTAGAATCATGCTATTAGAATATTCAGCCCGAGGTTTTCAGATAAAAATATAGAATTTTAAATAAAGAAATTTCAGAACCTGATTTTTACTGAATTGAGATCATTTTCTGAGAACAAGTAGCATACCCTGGAGACCGTTGGCAGTTAGCCTGAGCGTGCAGTATGGAACAGGGGTTGTCCTGCATCGAGATGGGCTAGGTGGCCTAATAGGTCTTTCTTTTTTTTCTCTAAATTTCTAGGATTCTCATGATTTGAATATTGATGAACTCTTTGACTTGAACATTTTGTTTCTTCTAATTGTTCATCTTTTCCTGATAATTATAAGGTACTCCAGGAGGATGGAATCAACTATACCCTTTATAAAAGGTGGATTTTTGAAACCATAGACCTTATTTTGTTTTAGTCAAACGTGATCCTAGACTTCTCTCTTCTGACTTCTCCCTCCTCCTTTAAAACAGCCCATGAAAAGAAAAGTTAACTTTTAAAGGTTCTTTTAATTCTGTTCAGTTGGCTTGTTCTTTGTTCCTAATAGACAAAAATTGGAGCCCTCCAGTGGAGAACTCAGGGTGTGCAGGTGGGATGGGGTGAGGACCAGCTCAGCAGCTCCCACAGCCACCGTCAAATGCTTTGGGTTTGAAAGTGTGTGGGTTCTTAATAAATACTACTTAATGATGACAGCAGGATGAGGCATTTAACATGAATAATTAAGAATAAAGGATTCTTGGTGGCTTTTGGGTCTTAATTTAATATAATCCAAATAGACCTGTTGTTCCCTTCTTCTGTCCACTTTTTTAGTGGGTGAAGAGAAGGGAAAATGTTAACAATGTTAGTGCTTTGCAGTATTTTACTAAGTAGTTAAATAAAAGCATAGACATATAAACTGGTTTGAACGAAAGATAATTCTTCTATGTAACATTTTCATATTAATTCAGATATCCAGGTAGATTGCCAGAACAAACTAGTTTGTTGCACATAGTTTTTCATTCAAGTGTGGACATGTGGACATTGGAAAGGTCTGTTTTGGCTCGAGAGCATTTGTGTTTGTCTTGCGGTGTAGATGTCTGATATGCCAAAGCCTGCCTTCATGAAGCAGAACCTGGATGTGCTTGGAATCGGGACCTACCACAATATCGCCTTCATACACCCCGACACTCCCATCATTAAGGCCTTGAACGTCTTTGTAGAAAGACGAGTGTCGGCCTTGCCTGTAGTGGACGAGTCAGGTCTGTGTGTTCGGCCACCCCAATGGAACAGAAATAACTTATCTCATTAGAGTAAAATTATTGTTAAATGACCCAGCATATCAGTTAAGTGGGGGAAATGAAAATTTAGATATGGTGAATAAATTTAGCACCAAAGAGCACTCAAGATAATAAAAATTTTAAACTGGCTTATTTTCAGATTTTCCATTATGATATGATTTCATTTCCATTTAGAAATAGATGTTTATTTTATTTAGCAATATTTAATTCCCTAGTAATTATCTAGTTAAGATTGATTTTAAATGTTATTTTTTGTTTCTAAGACATTTTTCTAACATATATTTTCATTTTTAGGAAAAGTTGTAGATATTTATTCCAAATTTGATGTAATTGTAAGTATTTTTAATTTTATTAAACCCGTCATCTAGAATGCATTTAAAACATTTTCATTAATGTGTTTTTTTCCCTAATTTAATAATTCCTAGCTTTTTTGAGTATGAGAATCTTATTAGAGAATTCCGTAGACTCCTCATAGTTTTAATATTCATTGGTTTAGCAATGAATAATATATTGGTAGCATTTTATAATTCTTTGTCTTTTCAGTACATGTGTAGTTTATCCATCACTACAGCATGTGTATATATTATATTGTAAATGGTCGTATTTCTATGTGGGAGACAGCATTTATTCCGCCAACAGTCATGGGCTTAGTGGACACACGAATTTGTGGATCCTTGTCATCTCCATCCCCTTGTTTGCCGATTTGGGAACAGCTGTTCTAAAGAAAACAGCAAATGTATTAAACAGAGTTATGTAAAGTCCTGTTTTTTAGTCCCTGGTTTAAATCTACTTGGTGGATTTTGGTGCTACAACTTTCCAGTTGTTCCTTTTTTTCCTCATTCATTTTAAAGGCACTTTCTTAGAGTTTTACATTATATTTAAGAAAAGGAACTGAAACTTTAATAGCCCCAAATGTGCACACCATTTTTTCCATATTATTGACCCCAGCATTAAATATTCTTTTGCAGCTGTCTCAAACCCTTTTGTTTCATCCTGTTCTGTTTAACATAATAGACACCAAAAAATATGCTTATTGGAATTTGGTTGATTGGAACCCTCTAAGATTAATCAGAACCCTGAGAAGCCATTTGGATCTATGGGGCTTATATGGCCTGTTCTTCCTCCATGATTGCTTGATCCTGGTGGGTCCTCCAAAAACTTCCTAGCAAAAACCTTGTTCCCTAAGGGAAGGCTCATAGGGAGAGACCATTCAGGCAGGTTCCCTAGCTGTATGGCACTTCTCACCCTTTACCAATGTTAGTCCACCTCTCCAAAGACTGTTCACTCAGGGGATAGAGCCTTATGGGTCAGAAGCGGGGAATCTTCGGTAGGACGTGCAGCCAGAATTTAACAAAGTTGCTTCATAATTAAGGTACGCTTTGCGAGCTTTAATTATTATTGATGAGATGATGAAATAACAGTACTGGTGGCATGTTAGAAGCTGGTATGGTGGCACTAAATTAAGATAAACATTAATGTCTTTAAAAATCAGCTTGCTTCAAACTTACTAATTTTGGTCGTTAATGTGAATTGAAATGAAAGGATGTAATTCATTCTGTTACCTTGTTACAGAACCTTGCTGCTGAGAAAACGTACAACAACTTAGATATCACCGTGACCCAGGCCCTGCAGCACCGCTCGCAGTATTTCGAGGGTGTTGTGAAGTGCAGCAAGCTGGAGGTGCTGGAGACCATTGTGGACAGAATAGTGAGAGCTGAGGTGAGGCGGCTGCACCAGGGCCCTCCCCCCTCCTGCCCGCCCGCCTGCCCCCAAGGCCGTACTGCCAATTTTGAATCCCAGGAACGGCCGTGAAGGCAGCCTTCACGTCCAGTCAGGTGGCGCGGTTCCCGTTCCAGAACCCGGCATGGTACTTGGCACCTAGTGGGTCATCTGTAATCAGTGTTCACGGAACTGAATTGATAAGTCCTGATACATAGTTGAATCAAATACACTGCTAAGATACTGCCATGGTTTAAAAAATCTATGCTTAAGAAAACAAAATTCCCCAGAGCTTTAAGTTCCATTAGGGCATTTATGAATTTAAAGTTAAAAATGTGTAATTATGTAGTTTTAACAAAGTGAATGATAAATCAATAAAATGTATTCTGATCCTTTTTTTTTTTTAAGTTAAAGTAATTTTCTCTCTTCCCACCAGTCTCTCTCTCTTTCCTGATTTAGATAAATAGTAGATGGTCTAGTAACTTCATCCCCTGACCTTCAGCACTCATGTCCTCTTGTACTTTACTGCCTAGAGGGTTTTCAAGTATACTCTGCATAACACTCTAAATAAAAGATGAGCAGGATCATTTTATAATGTACTAATTCAGTATGTCCACTCCCCAAATCATTTCTTTCCTTTCTTGTTAGACAGGGATAGGAACGTTATCCTGTTTATCACTTTTTAGGACTGAAAGATGCAACTGTGTTCATTCTGGAACAACCCCTAATTAGGCAAAATTAATTCATAAAGATAAGTCTGCTTTGATGCTTTTTATTATAAATACAAGAATCCAGTTCAAGAAGAAAAGTACTGGATTATGTTTTGGGCTAATAACAGGCGACCTTGGCTTTCTGAAAGTGACGTATGAAGTAGTGTTTTGCATCAGAGCAAGCGCCCCATTTCAGGAGCCATCATTATAGAGACCCCCCAGCCCCGCTTTATCATTGTGTTCAAGAGTCCCCCCAACCCCGGCCTCAGCTGAGGGCACTCCCCCAGCTTCCACTGTCATGGCTCTTAACATGTTTCATTAGAATCTCAGTATGAAGTCTTTTCTTTTTCTACTTGAATTTAACATCCACCGCTATTTGTTTTCCATAGGGTTTTAATTGACTTAGGAATATGTCTTAACTTTTTATTAATATCCTTAGAATTATGTCCCTTTTGAAGATCATAAGCAGAAATAAGTAAGGCATCCCTCCCTAAGTATTTATTATAAGGACAGTGGACATCCATATGATGGAATCCTTTATAATGATTAAAAATCATATTATAGAAGAACATTTGTTGACATGGAAAAACATTCACAATATATTGCTAAGAAAAGGTCACTTATTACACACAGTATGATTGTGTTAATATACATGCATCTGCATAGAAAAGAGACTAGACACTCACACCACAGTGTAACAGCGGCTATTTTTGGGTGACGAGTCCTGGCTGACGTGAGGAACGTGGAGAGTGCCAGTGCTCCTCTGTGTCCCTGAGCTCGCTCGTTTGAGCACCTGGTACTGTCAGGTAGAAGAAGAAAGTAATTGGTTTGTCCTTTAAGCTCATCTGGTGAGCAATAGAAATTTCATCTACTGATGAAATATGAAATAAGTCATTGAGGAAAATAAAGATGTAATTAAATATCTTCTCAAGTTATACATCTTGACTTTTTTCCTCATTAAAATAAGTTCTTTCACCAGATGACTCCTCACTGGGGGACAAAGACCAGCTTTTAGCTTCAGCATAGTTTGTTAGGAGAAGGATGTATGGTGACAGCGATGATTCAGTTTATTTATATGACGTAAATATCGCACTAGCATTTAGATATCTCAGACAAGGAACATTCCTAAGTTTAGACTCAGCAACAGATGACAAGAAAATATTTTTGGTAGTCATTTTTGTCTGGTAGGTCTCTAGGTGAGATGGTTTCCCCTTGACGTTCAGTAGTTCAGAAGATGGTTATTTAATTATCATTATTGAATGTTAACAACAGATTGTGTCTAGTGTAGAATATAAAGCATTCTCTGATCTTAGATGTAAACCATCACTTTAATTTATAATTATAATAAATAACTGTGTCATTATATCAGGATTATTGAAGAAGCTAAGTTTTTTTAGAGAAACTTTTAAAAGAAGTTTATGTTGATTGGCATGAGAAAGATGACAAAGTGATTTGTTTTAACCTAAAGCAAGCTATGATGTCAAAAGCATCACCAACGCAGTATCAAAACAATTTCCCCCCTCTTTCCATCTCTTTCCTGTGCCTCCTCCTACCCCATTTTGTACCAGCAGGGGGTTGACTGTTCAGTATGGAGAACAGGGTCTCCAAGGTAATCGACCGCCTGTGGGGGGCCTCAGGCCTCAGTCCTAAACGTTTTGTGTTTTTTTTTTTTTTTTGAGGAAGATTAGCCCTGAGCTAACATCTGTTGCCAATCCTCCTTTTTGCTGAGGAAGATTGGTCCTGGGCTAACATCCGTGCCCATCTTCCTCTACTTCATATGGGACGCCACCACAACATGGCTTGACAAGCGGTGCATTGGTCTGCGCCCAGGATACGAACCTGCAAACCCCGGGCCGCCAAAGCACAGCGTGCGAACTCAACCGCTATGCCACCGGGCCAGCCCCCTAGACCTTTTAAATCAGAGAAGCTGATGCTTTCTCACTCCTTTGCTGTATAAGGATGCTTCCTTATAGTGATCCTCAGAACGTTATCCATTCATTTATAAAATACTTTTGAGTAGAAAATGAGACATGAATATAATCTATTTCACTTTATTATATTTCATTTATCCTCTGAATGTTATTCTTAATATATGAACTTCATAGAGAAAAGACACGATAAAAAATGAAAATCTAAGAACAGTGATGTGTTATTTAGTTTCAGTGCTCATTTGGACTTCCTTCCCTTGTAAAACAGCATCTGATAGTTATTAGACACTAAGATACAACTTTAAAAAATTAAAAACTGTTCAAGAGACTATTATAGCTACATTGTACTTCATGTTTTGAGTTGTATCTTTCATATATTAATATTTTGAAATTTGAAAACTCAGCAGGACGTAGCTGGCTAATTTTTCTTAAAAATAGTCAAGCAAATCAGCATTGCAGTTCGACCTTAGAGCCAAAGACCTTTATATGGTTCTACACACTGCTACTTCCTCTCATTTGTGGGACGTATGCATGGTATAGTATATGAAAGCTACTTTTTCTAATATCCATTTAAAAACTTCTTTATTTAAACTTTCACATGTCGCCTCCTTTTCTCTTGTTTGCAGGTCCATCGGCTGGTGGTAGTGAATGAAGCAGATAGCATCGTGGGTATCATTTCCCTGTCAGATATTCTGCAAGCCCTGATACTCACGCCGGCAGGTATGACTGCAGTCCTGACCTTCACCCTGAGGTGCAAGAAGCGCGGGAGGTGGAAGAGGGTACAGCAAGCAGCTGCTCATCCGCCCCCCGCAGATCACCGCCTTCTGTGCGTTACCTTGCAAACATTTTCACTTTCTCTGTGGTTTTGAAGTTTTACTGTTCTACTTGGGTGACAGAGAAAAGTTCATAGAAAGTATTCTGACTCAGGAGCATCCTCTCGACGCCCCACAGTGCCTGAGTGATCGGGGATTCACTGCCATGTTCATCAGAACCTTTTCCACCGAAAAGCTAAGATCTCCTCCGTTTTGCTTTATTTTTGGTACGACACACTGGAAAATACAGGAGGGAAATTCTTTGGGTTCTAACTATTGAAACCTTTCATCTACCCTTGTTAAAAAAAAAAAAAAGCTTACTAGTGTTTTGAGTATATAACACAAAAGACCTAACTAAACACAAACTTTTTTCCATTAGTAGTGTATGGAAATTACATTTTTACCATGTTTACCAAACATGGTAAAATTACCATGTTTATTACCATTTTACATGTTTACCAAACAGCCTGGGTGGCTAAACTCCTTTTCTGCTTGATTCCCCGAGCAAGCCCTCAGGTCACAGTCAGGGAGCCTTCGGAGAGGGAGGAGGGGGCTTTGGAAGAGAGGGGTCGGTGTTCCTCCTGTGTCACACGTTTCATAGTGGGGTGGGCTGAAGGGGCCCAAAATCACCAGCTGTCCCTTTCTTTCCCCTTCCCACTTTTCCCCCTAACCCCCATTAAGTACGAACAGCCCAGCCTCGGGCCTCACCGACGGAGCCCAAGATGGGAGACTAAGTGACATGCACTTTGAACTCTTAGAAGTTAAACATTAAAGTGTGTGTGTACTACAGTATTGATTTTTCTCTAGTTCAAAAATCAATCAAACTAAACTAGCTAAGACTAGTTTTGGCAATTGGCCTATAACTTAAAGATACCCACCCTAGAAGAATCTCCGCCACCAGCAGGAAACATTGCATGTACTAGGTGAGGACATCAGGGGCGTGATTCCAGCAGAGGAGTGACTCACAGCGGGCCGCAGAGCAGCAGCAGCCCCTGGGAATTGTTGGAATGCACATCGTGGAGCCCCTCCCCATATCAACTGAATCAGAAACGGTAGAGATAGGGCCTGGTGCAGTCATTTTCAAATTTATTAGAGAACCTGAAACACATGATAATCTTTATAATCATGAAATATTGATAAAATGAATAAATGGATGTGAGATTGTTCATAGCATTATTTGAATTAACCAAAAACTGGAAATAATCCAAGTATCTTTGAGCAGAAGAATGGACAGACTGCATTATATTCGTCCAGTGGAATGCTACACAGCATTGACAATGAACACACATAGCTACCTTTGACAGTGGACAAACCTCACAGACTACATCAAGCAAAGGATCAGGAGCAGTCCCAAGAGTGGGTTTACATTTTATATACAACTGGACATCTCCTTCATGCATGTTAGGAAGGGCCTGTCTCTGGGCAGACTCATCCCCACAGGCATATAACTCAGCAACTTCAGAAAGAGATACCCCTTTTCCAGGCAGCTGGCCCTGGGCCAAGGCACACCGTTTGCCCAGCAGAGTCAGGCCGCTTCTCAGCTCTTGTCTGTCCCTGCAGCCAAGATGCTTTGTGCATCACAAACGCAGAGTAAACAAGTTCTTATCCTCTCTGTGCCTTGGTGTCCCAAACCATAAGAATGAGAATGTTGGGCTGGATGAGTTTAAATTTCCATCTAGATTTGGTATTTCAAAACTTCTAAGTCATTAATGCTCCTCTGCAGGGAGGAAGCCTGTTCCGCAGCTGGGATTTGAAATGTATATTACCATAGAAGTAACATTAGAAAGATAGGGATAGTTGAGTTAGAACTGTTTATAATAGAATGTGTATAACACTATTTAGGAAAATGCTCTGTGTTCCTAATAAGTGGATTATAAGTGAACGAACATTTGGAGCAGAACTCTGTTGGAACGCGGGGACAGCCTCCATCCATCAGCAGCAGTTCAGATGTGCACTTAACCCATGGCATAGCAGTTAAGTGCGTGGGCTCCGCTGCTGGCGGCCCAGGTTCGAATCCTGGGCACGCACTGACACAATGGTTATCAGGACATGCTGTGGTGGCGTCCCATATAAAGTAGAGGAAGATGGGCACGGATGTTAGCCCAGGCCCAGTCTTCCTCAGCAAAAAGAGGAGGATCAGCATCAGATGTTAGCTCAGGGCTGATCTTCCTCACCAGGAAAAAAAAAAAAAAAGCGCATGTGTATAGGAGACGGCATGGCATAAGCATCAAACTAGGGGTCCAGCCTGGTTAGCTCGTTCCCTGTCATCCCCTAAGAGCTGAGTGTGAGCAAGCTGCTCACCTCATTTAGCATCCGTTCCTTCAGCTGTAGAATGAGCAGGCTGATACAGGCCCTGTGGCCCTCCAAGATACTTTGAGTTGAAACCAAAAATGTGAGTGAAAGCTCTTTGTGCACAATAAGGCACCACACCCAGGACAAGCACTGGTGGGTGAATGTTTATGGAATACTCAATAAGAGACACTTTTAGAAAGCATCCACTCTTATGTGAATAAGAGGTACCAGTGGTTATTCTTTTTACCAGATAATGGACACAACTCCTCATTATGGATACTGATTCAATATTTAACACTTTGTTTCCGAGAAAGTTTTTAGCCATAGTTCATTGTCAAACTTAGACTGTCCAGACAAACCTCAGTATCTACACATGCAGCCAATGAGGAAGCAATCTGATGGCAATAGCTACAGTTTTTTAGCCCTTTATTTTTATAGATTGATAATCTCTTTCAAAAGTGTAGTGTCTTCTGGGGTCTGATGAGAAAATAGGAGAGAAGCTGCTGTGATGAGAACAATGGTAGCTCCAGCAACCCATTTTGAAATATCCTGGCCAGATAGGAGTAGGTGTCATGTGCAATTACCCTTAAACATGTTATAATGCTTTTTTTTTTTACATTTTTTAAGTATGTACAACGGAAATACTTTGCATCTTCACTAAAGCATAAATACATATTTATTTTTAAAAAATTTTAGCAGAACCCTTTTCTTTTCCAAATGAAATCTTACATATTTAGAATTACAATGTGTAATATGGATTAAAAGTGTGCTGCAGTAATGCTGGTTGAGAGTGGGGAGCTGGAGCCCACCTGGTCATTCCCACTTCTCCACCTCCTGCAGCCTCTGGAACGTCCTCATAAGGCACTGCAGGGTACAGGCAGGAACCACTGAGGTGCAGAACCACTGCTACTGTGATGTAGGACATGCACAGCTGCAACGTATTTTTGTTGCTTTGAAATTTTCATTTTCCCTCTGCTGACAGGTGCCAAACAGAAGGAGACGGAAACCGAATGACCGCTGTGAATGGAGAAGCCCTTGTAGGAAAACTTGAACAAAGATTCTGGGTCATGCTTTGCCTCATGAACACTGACCGTGATAGAAGAGACTGAAATGGCTGAGAATGTATATCAGGGTTTAGTGATGGGTATTTTTTCCAGTAATGTTGAAACTAAGCATAAAAAAGAAAGATTTTATGTGTTTGAAGATTCAGGCTTGCATTAAAAGACTATTTTCAGGCCTTTGTCTGAAATATTTCAAATGCTGTATGTCATTCAAGTGCACTGTGTCCTGAAATTTTATTAGTTTTCATTTCAAAGAACTCACTGGTATGTAACAGGTAATATGACATAAGGCGAGTGTATGGCATATTCAGATCTAGTGCCTTATGTCAGAACACAGCGATATGTCATCACTACTGCCCCTTGCAGCGGAGCGTGTCCCTGTGTGAATTGACACTGTGCTGGCGTGTGACAGTCTTTGAACCTTTACCAAATCAGCTTGTTTTCATTAGATGTGTCAAACAGTTGTAATTGGAATATAAATAATTACTTTATAAAATTTTAATGACAGTTTTATGTTTGTGTTCTGTTCTGAACTGTAGTGTAAGCAAGACTGCTTTACAACAGCTTTATTTATTTTTACTTTGATGCAATTTTTTACACATCTTTTGGTGGGTAAACTTCACCATACCTATTAATAAACCATTGGTTGTTATTTTAAAATGGCAAATTTCTCATTATTTAAGTTTGGATCTGGAAAGGATATGACTTCTAAAAGAGCCACTGTTCGGCTTTAAAAGATGAAGTTTCTAAAAGCCTGTGTGGAAACCTGCTCTGCTGGACTGGAAACAGGCCGCGGTTATGAGGAAACGAAGTGCCGGGAAGATGTCTATTTTTTTCTTGTGTATTGAAATGTAAAATCACGATGTTTGTGTGACTGCTGATGCGATTGTTTCTGTAAATTTCATTGTGGCATATGCAGTATTGTCATGGTTGAAGAGAAACACAATGTTTCCTGATGTAAGTGCTCTGAAAATGTTGACACTGTATATATATGAGTATAGTTTGGTTTTTTGTTTTTTGGGTTTTTTTTTTTTGCAGATTGAAAAATTAAAATAAATCCTACTATATACCATTTTGTTAAAGAAGTTCTTTAAAATACCATGTATTTCAGCACATAGGAATTAAAATTCTACATGCAGTTTCCCACTTAGATATTTCTCCCTGAATAAAGGAGAAAATGAATTCTCATATCCTTTCTTCTCATCATCAGAAAAAAAACCTTAATGATTTTACTCATAAACTTTATATCTCTCCATTATTAAATAGAACATATTTAATTAAAAGTTGCCACGCAGATTTTCTTGTGCTTAGGTGTCAATGTTTTCATTTCCTAGGAGGCCAGATATGAGGAAGAGCATATGATTATGTTTTCCCCATAGAAACAGTAGTGGTTGTGACTTAGGCTAATGGTAATGCTTGGGAGAAAGGAAGAAAGTCACAAAGCTGCTTAAAACAATGCAGTTTTGAAGCTCGGAACATCTATTCTCAATCTGCCCCTTGTCTGTGAAGTGCACACAAGTGCGCACGGACTACACGATGTATAGGTGACATGCTGTGTATCTTCTGCTTCAGAAGACAGTTTGGGGCCACTTACTTATAAAGAAATGTTAGCAGTTTCTCTTCCCATGAGGCACATGCACGTCCAGCAGGCCTCTGACCCTCTCTAACCCTTGTTAAGGGTTTTGAGTTGTGTGGACGTGTGTTTTGCACGTTGGCTTGAGTGGAGCAGCCTCGTCTAGTCATCAGACTACGACCAACGACAGTGTGTTATCCTTTAGTTTCCATCTAAAAGTTAGCATTTGTTCCCATCAAACGATAAAGGCTGGGTGATAGTGAATGTGCTTCCCAGTGTCCTAGGAATCAGAGAAGTGGCACTTAAAGAAGGCCAGGTGCAGGAAGGATTCTAGGGGAAAAGCCGTCTATCTCCTGAGAGAGAGAAACCCACCTTGAAACCCTTGATGGACGAGCCTCGGGTGTCTGCAGCGTCCTCATCACTGTGAGGCTCGCCAGGACCCCGTGGGCAGTGGGCTCACTGCAATGCCATTGTGTCACCAGCAGGGACTCCGGCCCTCACACCAAGGAGGAGCTGGCAGCACCTAAAAGGATTGTTGTGAACAAATAAATGATGACTATGAAAGCAAGAGCACGTTAGAAACACCATGTCTGTTCCAGAAATGGAGGGCGTCCATTCTGTTTTGTATTCTAATCTCTAAGAAAAACATAAATTTATTAAACTGATGTTTCTTATAACATTTTCTTAGAAAAACATTTGCATGAGCAGATAGCCCTCTTAAACCAGTGGTTCTCAACCCGGGGAGATTTGGACCTTAGGGGACATTTTTGGTTGTCACCACTGGGGGTGGGAAGACGGGGTATGTGCTACCGGCATCTGGTAGGTAGAGGCCACGGATGCTGCAAAACCTACACTGCACAGGACAGTGCCCCCACAACCAAGAGTATCCAGCCCAGGATGTCAGTGGTGTTGAGGTTAGAAACCCTGCCCTCAACAATTAGAATCTTCTGGGCATTTTGATTATATTTGTTACTTCCTAACTGAATCCACCTGTCTTTGGAAGAAAAATTGAGTAGACAGCCTTTCTGGGCAAGGGGATGACGGAAATAACCCACAGGTGAATTCCATAGGTCCCTGTGACCCTTGTCACAATTTCCTTCCAAAGCATTTTCACCAAAAAGAGGATTTTGCTTTGCATAATAGCACTCTCAGGAGAAAATTCCTACCCATAGGGAAATACTTGGAAAGTAAATTTTACTCAGTTATTTTATTTTCGTAAAGAAATCTAGAACAGGCTCCAAAATTGTTTTTCACATAAAATTACCTGCAAAGCCAGCATAGTTGTAAGTCTACATAGAGAGCATACTCAAAACACCTTCACATGAAACCCCTGAAATTCCCTCATTGTGGACAGCCCCATCTTATTTCTTGGACTAAACACACTGCATTAAAATTTACCTTTAGGTGTCGACCTAAGCAAGGACATAGTAAAATTATCATTCAGCTCTCAAAGCATAGTGAGGCTCCTTCCTGCAGGGAGGTCGGGAAGAAAATCAGGTACCCAGTTCTCTCTAGACATCTCTGCACTTTAAGTGCTGAACTCGCTGGAAACCTGCTCTGACTTCACGTGTGTGTGTCTCCCTGGAAAACCTGCATCGAAATCCCTGGATTTCATTTGAGACCAGAGCCCCAAGGGGCACCCATGTCTAGTATGTTGGAGACAGAGGATTGGCCTCGTGGCTGTTTCTACTCACCAATGTCAGGAACTCATAACAACTTGCCCTCTCCCACTGCTCCCCCGCCTTCGGTAGACAAAAGAGTGGTCAACACCACAACGAATCTGAGAGAATGCAGGTAAACACATCCGCCACAGGCCCCGGGCCCCTCACTCATTCCAGCTCGCCCTGATCCCGGTGGGCATTGGAGGAAGAAATGCTTCCTAGCCTCCTCCAGGTGCCAAACTGCTCACTCTCAGCTGAGCTCCTGTGGTCTTAAGAACAGGCCCCTTCCCTTTCTTCATACCTCTTCTCAATTGTGCCCCCAAGGCCTGTGAGGAATAAGAAAAGGCCCCAAACCCTGCCCTGTGCGGCTTATGGACATGGCCTCAGCTACAAAGACCAAGTGGGAACCTCACACCACTGCCCTTGAGGCCGGGCGACTTCCTGGCCAGCAAGATCTGAGGGGGGACAGCATCTCTCCTACCTTTCCTCACTGTACACCTGAGGGCCTCCTTGCTTCTGCAACCCTTGGAGCATGCTTCCTGGCCTACAAGGCCGGCCCTGGCTGTGGGATCAGCTGTCTGCTGGCTCCAGGGCCTTCCCCTGCCCGGCCAGGGGGAGGGGAGAGGTCGCGCTCGGCTCAGCCCTAACCTCTATGGACAGCCCCAGCCCTGAGCTCCAAGGTCGGGGCTTCCCTGCCCACTGGACACCTCCACCCAAACCCCCGCGGGCGCCTCGCCCACGTGGGACTCACCGTCTTCACACACGAAGCAGAGACGCGGGAAACCTCTGAATCTTCTGTGAGCCTTTTAATCCTCCTTCTCTCCTCCCCGCCCCTTGAAAAGACAACATAAAATGGCAGCGTTTCTGACAAAGCTTTCGAACGCATTCAGATGGGTAAGCCCAAAAAGGTGACCCTTCCAGCTACATTCGTCGGAGTCATTAAATTGCGTGTTTAAACCAGACATCTAATCAGATCCTTTCACTGCTCGGAAGCCATCAGCGGCCCCACTGCCTACAGGGTCAAGCCCGACCTGCCCGCTGGGGGATGAGGCCCTTCACCGCCACCCGGATAGGACTCCCAGGCCCTCTCCTCAGCCCCTGAGCCCCTCCCCACTTCCTTAAAGCACCGCCCCTCCACACCTGCCCACCAACCCGAGCTGGTCCCCACCTGTCCCCCACCTACAGAAACGCACGCAACTCCTCTCTCACGGCCACATCAAATCTCACTTCCCACCCCGCAAGCAGACGCCCCCTTCCTCTGGCCGCACGTGACTGTGACACGCTGAGCCATCCTTACCGCAAGTGCGTGTGCCACTCTGCCTGCCTGGCTGGCAAGAGCGGCGCGTGGAACTACGCGGCGTCTCGAGTCACATTTGCTTCTCAGCGCCGCCTTGTGCTAGCGGGAAACGGTTGTAAAACCCCTCCCCGTTCTTAGCCTGGGTTTCCCCGCTGTAAAGTTGTTGAGAGGGATAAATATATATACGTACACATACTGTTATATGGAAGGGCGCTCCGAAACGCTAAAGGGCTGTACAGATGTCAGCATCAGGCGTTGTCATGGTGGATGCGGTGGTCACCCCAGTCCCTCAAGGAAGGTAACAAGATCTTATTCATCTCCATACTCTCGCCCTGGCAAGTCTCCTACACCTGGTAGGTGCTTCATGAATGTTCGTCCAACGTTTGACGAGTGGTTGGCAAAGGCCAGTACACCTACTAGGTTCGTGGGGCTGGTGAAATGCTCCGGTCACACGAAGCTTTCCTCTCTAAATTGCCGGTTTATTTGATAAAGTTAGAGAGATGCCACAGAATATGGAGCATCATCCACAAATTCAGAGGCAGCCCTCTTCTCTGTCTTAAGCCTTAACATTTGAGGGCAGACACAGGGCTCCCGGAAGGAGATGCAGAAGGAAGGCTTCTGCGGGCCAGAGTGTTGCTCCCCTGCTAATAACACAAAGGGCACTGCCCTATCAGAGACAGCACCCGAGGTCAGAGAGCTGCCCTCACGTGACCATCGAGAGCACAGCACAACACAACAGACCCCGTGTGAAGGGAGCTCCCTTCCCTTGTGAGGAGAATGGAGAAAGGACACCAACACTGCTCAGAGAGAAAAATGAGACTGGGGTCAGGAGGAGCTGGGAGTAGAAAAGACCGGAAAGACACGAGGGTAGAGACAGCCCCTGACACTTGCATGGAAGGAGCAGGGGACTCGATGAGCTCACTCCTGACCCTCTTAAAATCCAGAAGCAGCCACCCCATGGTATTCTGAGAATTCCCAGGTACCTTCTTTCTTTGCTCCTTGTCTCTTTTTGTTAGCTGGCACAATTTCCAGAAACTTCCAAAAAACCCTGTTTGAGAAACAGCCCCTGGGCAGATTGATTAGCATGACAAAGCTAGGTACTGAGTACGTGTTTGAAATGTTCCATAAATAAAAAATTGTTTTTAAAACTTTACAAAAAAATTTTTACAAAAGTAAACAGTTTGCCTTCCTTTTAAAGTAACTTTATCTTAACCTGGACATATTAAAATTAAAATAAGTGATAGGAAAGACATAGCTAAGAATCAAAAAACACACGAGATTTTTCAAATGGCGACAGAGATTTATTTTCTGGTACCTTGAAATGCATCTATTAGAAATAGAGCAGGCTACTATTATTAGCAATTGACAGGGTAACCATATTATAGATTTCAGACGTCTTAACACAACACTTGGTAATGAATAATTTAGATTTGTTCGTTATACCTGTGCACCTGAAAGTTCTATTTTTTATGCTATAAATTAGTTGACCCAAATGTTTTTTAAAATAGGTTTTTAAAAAAAAGTGTAAACAGTTTTTAAAGAACAGTGTGT